GCGAGATCGATATTAAGTGGGATAGTGAGATCGATAGTGAGATCAACGGTGCGATCGACTCTGCGACCGGTTGCAAGATCGATAGTGAGACAGATGACGAGATCGATTGGGTGAGACGTTAGTTATTATCCCCCCGAACCTCCGCATCACCCGAAGGGTTGTCGTATAGTACATTGGTGTGTATATATATGTATATATGCATATATGGGAGGCTTGGGGGTGAGACCGAAGTGAAACGTGAGGTGACCCAAAGTGGGAAGTCGCTTCGCTGCGTGCGTGGCGTGCGTGCGGGCGCGGCGCGGCGAGGCTGCGCAAGCTCCTCCCGGGGCCCTGGGCCTGGCCGTGGGGGGTGGAGGCTGTCCCGTTGGCAGTGCCGCTGGTAGCCGGCGACGGCTGTTCCAATGGTTGCCCCGAGAGTTGCCCCGACGGGAGTCCCGATGGTCCAGTGGTTGCCCCGACGGTTGCCCCGATGGCTGCCCCAGTGGTCGCCCCGATGATCTTTCCGATGGTCGTCCCGATGCTTGTCCCGGAGACGGTTGTTCGGACGGTTGTCCCAGCGGTTGTCCCGATCGGTCTGCCAGGCCATATTAGAAAACAGCATGTGCTCTGCAAGGCCACAGTGCAGAACGATGAGCTCTACGAGGCGGTAATGCAAAAATGTGCCCTGCGAGGCTACAAGACATGCGCCCTGTGGGGCAAACCAAATTCAAGACAATGCGTTCTGCAGTGCAAGAATTACTGCAAGTGTGCCCCTTTGGGCAACAACCAATTCGCAAATTCGCCTTGCTGGGAAAAAGTATTCAAATGATAGAAAGAACAAGCTCTTTGAACAAGCACATGAAGACCATCGTAAACGCAGCAAAAGCAGATTGCGCACAATTGAGCATCCATTTACGTAGAAAGAGAGTGTGTGTGAAGCAAATGAAAACCTAGACAGGTAGATAGACATATGCACATTAGGCAGACATGTGGATGCACAAATTCATGCTGATGTTCTGGTGTGCGTCCACTCGTGAGTTGAGTCGCGTGTCCAAAATATGAAGTCCATCCCGAACCCTCCTTCTCACCCGAATGGCTGTCTTAGCGGTGTGTAGATTCACATATTCTTGTCAACCTACATCTCGCATGGAAACAAGAATCCCGGATTGCCCCACGAATCCCGGATTGCCCCACACACACACACATGCATATTCATATACATATATATATATATACATATGGACGCACGCACAGAAAATCCCACAACATGTTTCCGACGCACCACCCCGCCCCGGATCACCTTTCGGACGGCTTTCCGGCCTCCCTGGCTAGCCGCCCGCTTTCCTTTTGAACGGCCCTAGAAGGCTTGCAACGACTCCCGAGATGGACAAGGGTGCCCAAGGACGACTCCCAAATGGCCCCAGGATGGCCACAACACCACCTAACAGGCTCCCAAGAGGACCCCAGGAGACCCCCCAGAGGACCGCGAGAGGCAAATTCATGGACTTCCCAACACGTTTGAACGATTCGGCCGTTCTCGCCTTTTCGGGCTTTTGACAGCTCAAGACCCCCCCCCCAAGGGCTTTCGAGATCGCCCCAAAGCGGCCCAAGGGGCTTCAGAGAGCGCCTGAACACGACTCAAGAGGGCCCTAAAAGACGGCTCAAGAGGGCCCCAGAAAGGCGTCCGAGAGGGCCTCAAGACGACCCCAGAGGACCCCAAGACGGCCCAAGAGGGCCCCAAGGCGGCCCAAGAGGGCCCCACGACGGCCAGAAGGGGGCCCCAAGATGGCCCAAGAGGCCCGCAAGGCCAAGCCCCCCAGGGCCCCGAGACGGCCCAGTGACGGACACGCCTTCGATGTGAGCAAGAACGCTCAACGCCGAGGGTCCCACGAGCGGGCGGCGCCATGAGCTCTCTCGTGCAAGTGCCTGAAGCAATGGTCTGTTGATTGCGCAATAGTTTGGAATAGTTTGTTGATTATGCGACACGTTGTTGATCATCGTGGATCCTGGCTCGTGCGATATTCTGTTGATTCTGGGACTTTCCTTCGCCTCGCTATACCTTTCCAGCAGCTGCGCCTCGCCGAGGGCGTTTCTGGGGTGCCTGGATCGCCCCGAACAGACGCCTGAGGATTGAGTTATGGCCCGACGACCACTCCGAGCAGGGATGGTGTTCTCGACCTGCTGCTGCCCTTCCGACATCTCACCAGCAGCTGCGTCTCGCCGGGGGGCAACATGTCTTTCCGCGTTTTGTGGGGAAGTTACCCGGCATGACGTTCACCACACTCACGGTGTTTAATTGGAACCCTTCACCATCTTGACCAAGACCCCACTCACGGTTGCGACCGTCGCCCCAAAATGACATGATCAACATTGTAACAAATATTTCCCGTATTATTGTCAGCCCCGTGGCGGTCATAATTTGAAACGTTGCCGCGGCCAGGCCCTTCACTTCCACCTTGCTCATAACTGCATCCTGTCTCGAGGCCGTGTCGTTCACCCCCTTGTGCTCATGATCTTTCCCTGCTCCAGTCGCCCTGGCATGCTCTTTCAGAGGTGAGGAGATAAGGTCGCCCAGGTACGTTGGCACCGAAATCCTTCCCAATGTTGCCGTGTTCGGACCCGACGCCGTTTACCCAGCCCGACTCCGGGGGGCCCAAGTTCTCCTTCCTGCTCCCCCCCCCCCGCCTTGCTTCAAGCAGCGTCCCACCCCTCTATCTTCCCACAGGCGCCCGAAAGTACACGGACACAGAACCAAGAGTTGATGCGAAGCAACGCGAGCCATCAAATCTTGTGCATTTGATATATATATATATATATACATACACATGCGCATGTACATACATATGTGTGTATATCTGTAGACATACACATTTACGCACATATATCCACACACCTACACTGTTAGATACATAGACATATGCGTTCCGGAGCGAGGGGGGCACGCGCATTGGCTGCTCCGTGGATGCTTTTCTTCCTCTTCTTCCTCTTCGTCTTCCTCTTCCTCTTCTTCCTCTTCCTCTTCTTCCTCTTCTTCCTCTTCTTCCTCTTCCTCTTCTTCCTTCTTCCTCTCCTTCCTTCCGGCCCGGGGGGGGGGGCCCGGCAGGGCCCCGCCGTGGGGCCCGCGCGAACGTGCGGGAGCCCGGAGGGGCGCCCCAGGGGCCCCCCTCGCGGGGGGCGTCGGCGGCGTCGTGGGGGGGCCCGTCGCCGCGGGGGGCCCACGGTGGCGCCGGCCTTGGCTGGCGCAGGTGCCGCATCCTCCTCCTCCTCCCCCTCCTCCTCCTCCTCCTCCTCCTCCTCCTCCTCCTCCTCCTCCTCCTCCTCCTCCTCCTGCTGCGGGCTTCTTCAGTGAATTGGCGCCTGCTGCGGGCTGCTTCAGTGAATACGTCGCTGACTCCCGACGTCGTGAGAAGAGGGAGGGGGTCTGGACCCTCCAGGAGACAGGCCATTTCAGACCTCCCCCGTGGGAGAACCCTCCAAGACATCGTCCCCAGACCCCCCCAGGCCCTCCAAGATAGCCTGGAAGAGACCCCCCCCGAAATGAGACCCCCTCCCTTTTATTACGAAATCTGGAGTAACTTGTTTCACCCGTCCGGGGGGCTCCGCGGCGTCGTGGGAGCCCATTGGTGGCGCCGGTCTTGGCTGCGCAGGAATGCATGCTCAAGATCAGAGGGGTCGGCGCCTGCGGCGGGCTTCTTCTTTGAATGCTTCGTTTCATCTTTTTCTAGTCGGGCCCCAGACTGGGGTTGGGCCCCCTCTTGTAGGCCTCTTTGGGGGCCTCTTGGGCCGTCTTAGGCGCCTCTTGGGCCGTCTTTGGGCCCTCTTGTGCCGTTTTGGGGCCCTCCTGGAGGCATCGTGGGCCGTCTTGGGGCGATCTTGGGCGCCTCGAGGGCCGTCCGGGAGCGCCCGGAAGGTGAAATGGAGGAAAACGCCGACGATTGACGATGATATCCTCTTGGGGCCCTCTTGGGAGGCCTGTTGGAGGCCTCTGGCGGCGTCTTGGAGGCCTCTTGGGCCGTCTGGGGGCCATCTTGAGCATCTTGAAGCCATCGCTCGGCGGCTCGGGCCCCTCTTGGACCCTCTTCGGGGCCTCTTCGGGGCCCTCTTGGCCCGTGCGTGGGCCCTCGGGGGCCCGAAAGAGTCCCGCGGGAAGCCGCCGGGAGCCCGAGGGGAACCGCGGCAAGCCTCGGGAGATGCGTGCACTCGGGGTCGGGGCCCTTGAGAGCCCTCGGGGTCGAGGATCGACGCTCGGGGGATGAGGCCACGGACCATGCGGGCACACGCCCACCTCCGTGCCCGGCGGCACGGTGGCAGATAGGTGTTTACACATATGTTTTTTTTTTTTTTTTTCTCTCTCTCTTTCTCTCTCTTTCTCTCTCTCTCTCTCTCTCTCTCTCTCTCTTCTTGTTTTTTTTTGTTTCTTTTTTTTTTTCTCTCTCTCTCTCTCTCTCCGTCCGTCCGTCCGTCCGTCCGTCCGTCCGTCCGTGTATGTCAGCACGCATCGATGTACAGCCGCGTGCGGTCGAAGGCTGACAGGCCTTCTCGATACGAGAGTTCTAGCTGTTCCTTGCTGCTGGCGTCGATCGCTGGCTCGTATCAGTTCATCCGTTCACTCGACCCCTCGGTCGCTAGCTCGCTGACGACGTGTCCTCCCTCTCTCCTTGCACACCTCTTGCTTTGGAGTGTCACGTTCGATCAACCTTCAGACCTTGTTGCCCGTGTGTCTGCAGTTTCTCAGTGCAGGAGTCGACCCTCCGCCCGAGCGCTTCTCATCCCCCTCTTCGCACTCCCCCTCCAGCCGCGAGATGCCCTTCCATCTCCCGCGTTCTTGCCGGCCTGATCGTACATCACTGCGCCCTAGTGGATCGAGATCGTTCACATGGCTCGCCTCTGACTTGCCTGATGTTTCACCATCGTTGGATCGATCAGCACTGCATGTTCTGACGCGCGTGCCAAGTCTTCCGTCTCGCGCTCAGCTCTCATGTGCGTCGCTTCCCTCTGCTCCTGTATTCGGGCCCTCTGCCAGCATCGCTTCCCTTACCCCCCCCCCTCCCCTTCACTTCCAACCTCTCTGTCCTCGCCAGCTGCCACGACACGCTCGCCATCTGGGCAGTGCCAAGCCAGAAAAGCGGCGCGCCTGCCAGTGGAGTGGCGCATGTTGGAGGCGTTCGCGCGTGAATTGTCCATCTGCATGAACATCGAGCGGAACATCGTCCTCCTCCGGAACCACATGGCGAAGCTTGACGGCCTCGAGGAGCTAGCCACTCAGGAGACGCGCAGGACGTGCCGCGTCGAGGAGGCGCCAGGGAACCTCAAAACACACCAGCCAGGTGTTGTTGGCTCCGTCGGCGACGTTTTCTGGGGCCCGGGCGTGGTCCTGCAAAGTCAGCAACTGCGTTGGAAGTGGAGGAGGAAAATCGGCAGGAGGTAGAGCCAGAGCTGGAGGAGGAGGAGGAGGAGGAGGAGGACGACGAAGAAGAGGAACGCACCACCTGAGGCGACGCCTGCAATGCAGGCGTGGCTGGTCGGAAGAGCACACAGGAGGCAGGGCAGGTGAATGGAAAGGAAGAGGTGGAAAAGGAAACGAAGAGTAAGAAGAAGAACAGAAGAAGAAGCAGAAGAACGAGGGGGAGGGGGTGAAGAAGGGGGAAGAGGAGGAAGAGGAGGAGCAGGAGCAGAACAAGGAGGCAGATAATAGGGGAAAGGGAGGAGCGGGAGGTGGAGAAAGAGGAGTAGGATGCGGAGGCGGAAGAGGAGGGGGAGGGGAGGGAGAGAAGGATAAGAGGCAGAGGGGGAGGAGGAAGAGGGGGAGCAGAGGGAGTGTCAGGGGAGACAGCAAAAGAGCGATTGGCTTCCCAGACTCAAGGGAGGAAAAACTACCCCTACCCCGATAATTGACGTTTCCTGGACGGCCCTGGGCGTTGTTTTAACAGCCCTGCCCAGTTCGATTCCGTCCTTGGGTGCGTTTATTGAGCGGTTTCGCTTGTCGGAATGCGTATTATAAGGGTGCATTTTCTGCTCTCTATATATATACCCCCCCCTCTTGAGCTCGCATGGATGTCTGCGCCTGCGCTTCAGAAAGCCACTTGCGCCCATCTCTAGGTGGCCAGCCTTCCCAAAATCACACGAAAGTTCATCGTCCCCCTTTTCCCATCCTCCCCCTTCTCCTCCTGCTCCTTCTTGTCCCCCTCTTCCTGCTCTTCCTCCCCCCCCTGCTCGATCACCCTTCTTTGCAGAACATTCCCCACCACCATCCCACCACCACGCGTGCCAATAGGGTGGCCCCGCCGTTTTGCCTGACACGTCTCCGCCGCTCATGGCCCCGAAGCTTGGCATTTCCAGCAGCTGCACGGCTGCACGGGTGGCGTATGGCTTTCAGATATTGGTTATCGCTTTAACGCCGCGTATGCTCTCGCAGTGTACACGGGAACTGCCATTGCAACGATGGAGGGCGGTGTGGTCATGCTCTTCTTCTGTAGCGCCGCACACCGTCGTCTTACAGCATTCCAGCAGCTAGGCTGGATGGTAAGTGGTTCAGAGCACGTGACGACCGCCTCAGCCACGCGCGCATTCGTGGTGCGCGTGTCCAACACGCAAGGAATGGAGGGCGCGTGGTTTTCCCATGTGGCTCTCGCCTCGGCGCCGCTCACATTTGATTGAAATCCCTCCAACAGCTACTAGGGTGGAGCGTGGGAGGTTCTTGAACGTGGTTCTCGCCTGAGAGTCGTGCACATTCGCCGTACCTGCCCGAACAGCTGCTAGGATGCAAGGCGGATCCTTTGCAAGCTGACGTTTTTGCTTCGAACTTCTTGGTCGAACTTGGCCAACTGTGAAAACTTGCTCAGCAGCTACACGGGTAGAGGGTGGTTCCTTGTCAACATGGGGCTCTTCTTTGGGAATTGCTCGACATGTCTGGCCCAACATCTAGTCGTGTGCAGCAGGATCACGGATGCAGGGCGGTTCCTTTGCGGTTTGGGGTCGTGTTCGATTGTTCTTTGAATGTCATGATGATGCAGTAGTAGTGCCCCTTGCAGCTAAATCGATGCAGGGCAACTCCTTTTCACAACATGGCTCTCGCTTCAATGGCAGGATAATGGGGGGGCGCTCGTCTTTCAAAGGGGTGCTGCCCGCAGTGCGTATTTATCAAGAGGAGACTCAGAACAGGGGGCTTAGGACGGGAGGGCGTATTGTTGCAGCATCGGTGCTGCAACCTGAGTCTATCATGGTTATCCTCCTCCTCCTTATCCTCCTTATCTTCCTTATGTGCCATGGGCCCCTGAGTGAAGCCCCTTTGGTGTGCCATGTCATGACCTCTGCCGCGCCTCCTTCATCTCATCCTCCTCGTCCTCCTCCTCCTCCTCCTCCTCATCATCATCATCATCATCATACTCAGTACGCCTGGTTCTCCCCTCGCCCTCATCCTCCGTCAAGGGCAAGGGGGGTGGAGGCCGAGGAGGAGGGGAGGCCTTCATCTAGTTCACCTCCGTGCTGCTCGCGATCTCTCGGCGCCTCCTGCGGGAGACACTCCCGAGCTGCGCCGCTGGTATGACGGTGAGCAACGCGCAGCTCGGACACAGGGGATGCTTGCGGATAGCTATGCGCTCACACGCAACACTGCCACACGAAAGAGGAAGACAGGGAGGCAGGCAGGGAGGGACCGAAGGACGGAGCCACGGACAAATGGCACAACGGAGGGGACGGACGTTGGGTCAGAGGGACAGAAGGACGCGTGGATGCACGGAGAAAGAGGGGAGGGAAGGAACAGGGAAGAGGCGAGGGGCAACGGGAGGGAGGAGAGGGAGTGCATTCTGTTTTGAGCTGTCCTGCTGACCCGGAGAGCCAATCGGGACACGCACCCGAGGCGAAACGCAGCCACCCCGTGCTCGGAGCCGAGGCCCCGAAAACGGCACGATGTCCCCGCAGCGTCCCGTCAGTGCGCATCCCTCTTGAGAACCGGGGGATGCTGCCCTGACCGAGGGCCGCGGTACGCCCAGCGACGGGAGGCCACCCCGAGCCGGGCACCGGAGCCTCCCGCTCGACATGCCCCGGAGCCGATACGATACAGAGTTCGACATGTCCTCACCTCAGCGGTCTGTCCCAAAGAGAGTGCACTGCCAACGGCACTCCCAACGCGCACTGCTCGGCGGACAAGCAGTGGCAGCCCCCTGCGGGCGCAGTCTACCGCGTACCAGAGGACCCTGCGGCGTCGGGAAAAACTCGTGGACACACAATGCCGCGTGGGCCAAAGGAAAGGAGGGCAGCGGACAGGCGCGGTGGAGGGAGGGGGGGATAGGGAGGGGTGGCGAAGACGGATGGGAAGGTTAAGGGTCTCCTCCCTTCTCGAGAACGGGGGATTGTGGAGCCCCTCGGGGTCGAAGGCGCCAAAGCGAGGCTTTCACACTGAGTTCGCGCGTCTATTTCAATGAGATATGCGTGCTCTGTGGCGGCCTCCTCTCTCCTCCTCCTCCTCCTCCTCCTCCTCCTCCTCCTCCTCCTCCAAAAGGAACAATACCATTTTCGTTGTTTGGCCCCCTCCCCCCCCCCCCCAGGAAAAAAAAAAAAAAAAAAAAAAAAAAACTGAGCGGATCCGCCTCTTTTTTTTTTTTTTTCGGGGGGGGGGGGGGGGGGGAAAGAAAATCCTCTCCTCCCTCCTCCTCCTCCTCCTCATCCTTCTCCTCGTCCTCCTCCTCCTCCTCCTCTTCCTCCTCCTCCTCCTCCTCCTCTTCCTCCTCCTCCTCCTTCTCCTACCTCTCCCCCTCCTCCACCGTCGGAGCCCGAGTGGCACGGGGCCCATCGGGCCGCGAGGAGCCGACGGCCAGGGGGGCAGCGCGGAGCATGAGGGGGGAGGGAGGGGGAGAGGTAAGGAGGAAGTGGAGGGAACGAGAAGACTTTTTAAACGACGCATGAACAATCAGATCTCGCATAAGTGTTGGAGTACAATACACCGCGCTGAAGGAAAGTACATAAGTCTAAAGCCACGCTGAAATAATGTAAATAACGCCTATTGAACGCCCCCATAAGAAGGATTGAAATCCTCGACAGAAGGGTTCCTACCGAAGCCCTCCACTGAACGATTCCTACTGAAATCCTGCACATGTGGATTCCTACTGAAACCCTCCACTGAATGATTCCTACTGAAATCCTCGAATGGCAATGGCAATGGCAATGGCAATGGTAATGACAGTGGTAATGGTAATGGTACTCGTAATGGTTACGGTAATGATAGTGGTAACGGGGTAGCGATTGGCAATGGCAATGACAATGGCAACGGTAATGGTAATGGCAATGGCAATGGTAATGGTCATGGCAATGGTAATGGTAAGGGTAACGGTAGAGGTAAAGGTAATGGTAATGAAAATGGCAATGGCAGTGGTAGTGGTAATGGTAATGGTGTTGGGAATGGGAGTGGGAGTGGGAACGGGAACGGGAATGGAAATGATAGTGGTAGTGGTAATGGTAATGGCACTGGTAATGGTAATGTTAATGGAAATTGTAATGGTATTGGGAATGGGAATGGGAATGAGAATGGGAATTCTAATGGTAATGGCAGCGGTACTGGTAGTGGTAATGGTAATGGGAATGGGAATGGAAATGGTACTGGCAATGGTAATGGTAGTGGCGGATGGCAATGGCAATGGCAATGGCAATGGTAATGACATAAACAATGGTAATGGTACCGGTCATGGTAATGGTAACGGTAAAGGTAACGGGGTAGCGATTGGCAATGGCAATGGCAATGACAATGAGAATGGCCATGGCAATGGCAACAGCAATGGTAAGTGCAATGGTAATGGCAATGGTAGTGGGAATGGGAAAAAGACTGGGAATGGGAATGGGAACGGGATTGGAAATGGTAGTGGTAATGGTAACGGAAATGGGATTGAGAAGGGTAATGGTAACTATAAAGGTAGAGGTAACGGTAATGGTAATGGTAATGGAAATGATAATGGAAATGGGACTGGTCATGGGAATGGGAATGGCAATGGAATTGGTACTGGCAATGGTAATGGTAGTGGCTAATGGCACTGGCAATGGCAATGCGAATGGTAATGGTAATGACAGGGGTAATGGTACTGGTACTGGTAATGGTATCGGTAATGATAGTGGTAACAGGGTAGCGATTGGCAATGGCAATGACAATAACAATGGCAACGGTACTGGTAATGGCGATGGCAATGGCAATGGCAATGGTAATGGCTATGGCAATGGTAATGGTAATGTGAATGTGAATGGGAACGGGAATGTGAATGGGACTGGGAATGTGAATGAGAACGGGAATGGGAATGGCAGTGGTAGTGGTAACGGAAATGGGAATGGTAAGGGTAAAGGTAAAGGTAGAGGTAATGGTAATGGTAATGGTACTGGTAATGGCAATGGCAATGGTAATTGTATTGGGAATGGGAATGTGACTCGGAATGGTAATGGTACTGGCAATGGTAGTGGCGAGTGGCAATGACAATGGCAATGGTAATGGTAATGGTAGTGGCGAATGGCAATGGTAGTGGTAGTGGCGAATGGCAATGGCAATGGCAATGGTAATGGTAATGGTAATGGCAATGACAGTGGTAATGGTAATGGTACTGGGAATGGTAAAGGTGACGGTAACGGTAATGGTAATGGTTATGACAATGGTAACGGGGTAGCGACTGGCAATGGCCATGGCAATGGCAACGGCGATGGCAATGGTAATGGCAATGGGAACGGCAACGGCAATGGCAATGGCAATAGCAATGGCCATGGCAATGGTAATGGTAATGGTCATGGTCATGGTCATGGTCATGGTGATGGTAATGGTAATGGGGATGGGGATGGGAATGGGAATGGGAATCGTAGTGGTAATTGTAACGGGAACGGGAATGGAAATGGTAGTGCTAGTGGTAATGATAATGGCAATGGTAATGGTAATGGTACTGGAAATGGTACTGGCAACGGTAATGGTAATGGCAACGGTGATGGGAATGGGGATTGTAATGGTGATGGCAGCGGTAATGGTAATGGTGATGGTAATGGTAATGGCAATGGTGTTGGTAATGCTAATGGTAATGGCAATGGTAATGGTAGTGGCTAATGGTAATGGGAATGGTAATGGTAATGGTAACGGTAACGGTAACGGGTCGGCGACTGGCAATGGCAATACAATGACAATGGCAACGGCACTGGTAATGGCAATGGCAATGGGAATGGCAATGGCAATGACAATAGCAATTGTAATGGCCATGATCATGGTAATGGTAGTGGTAAAGGTAAAGGTAAAGATAAAGGTAAAGGTAATGGTAATGTGAATGGGAATGGGCATGGGGATGGGTATGGGAATGTGAAAGGTAATGATAATGGTGTTGGGAATGGGAATGGGAGTGGGAGAGATTGAGAGAGAGAGAGAGAGAGAGAGAAAGCGAGAGAGGAACTATCAGAAAAATGATGAGGAGCAACGTGAAAGATCGTAAAACATCGCCTGAAACCCACAGGGGCTCCACAATCCCCCGGCCTCCCCTTCTCCGCATCCTCCTTCCTCCTTGACTCCTTGGTCCCCAAAGGGTCAGCGCCGATCTAAGAAATCCGCGCGGAGTCTATGCCGATGTCTGCCCCTCGATTTATTCCTTCATTCCTTCCTCTCCCTCGGAGGGAATACGCTTCTGCGACATGCTGAAGGACGACATCGAGGGCCTGAAGGAGCTGCCCGAGACCTCGGACGACCTCTCCGCGACGCTCGGCGCCTACTCCCTCTTGGCGGGCGCCTCGGAGCGTTCAGGAGGGAGGAGGAGGGAGGAGGAGGGAGGAGGAGGGAGGAGGAGGGAGGAGGAGGGGGAAGTGAGGAAGGGGAGGGAGGGAGAGTGAGAGAGAGAGAGACAGGGAGAGAGAGAGAGAGAGAGAGAGACAGAGAGAGAGGGGCTCAGGATAGGGGAGGCGGGGGGCCGGGGGACACGAGGAGGGAGTGTTGCCTGCCGCTTCCCGGTGGGTGCCATGCCGCTGCTTTCCGTAGAGGGCTCGGCCGTGGGCTGGTTTCCGGCACCTCCGCCCGCCAAGGGGTACGGACTGCTCCTCTCGGGTGGAGGGGGGGGGAGGAGGGGGAGGAGGAGGAGGGGGAGGAGGAGGAGGGGGAGGAGGAGGAGAGGAGGAGGAGGAGGGGAGGATAAAGGAAGAAGAAGGAAAAGAGTAGGAGGAGGAGGAGTAGGAGGAGGAGGCGGAGGAGGAAGGAGGAGGAAGGAGGGGAGGAGGAGGAGGAGGAGGAGGAGGAGGAGGAGGGGAGGAGGAGGAGGAGGAGGAGGGGGAGGAGGAGGAGGAGGAGGAGGGGGAGAGCAGGAGGAGGAGGAGGAGGAGCAGGAGGACGAGGAGGAGGAGGAGGACGAGGAGGAGGAGGAGCAGGAGGAGCAGGAGGAGGATAAGGCCCTCGAGGTCCACGGTCTCAAGCCTCTAGTGGAACTGGGGCGGGCCCCTGGGAATCCTATGGAAGCAAACCCCGTTCCGAACTTCGCCGGTCCGAAGAACTGCCCGGGGCGAGGCGTCACGGGGGGGCTGCCGCCGCGGGCCCCGCGTGTCGCTGCCCCGCTGCAGGAGCCCCTGCACCGTTCCTGGAGCTGCGGCCTCTGCGGGAGCCTGCCGCTGCTCGTGGCGGGCGGCCAGGCTCTGAGGGCCTCCACTCTCGACCCCTCCCTCCCTTCATCTCCACCCCTCGCCCCCACTCCTCTGCAACAGGGCAAAAAAAGGAGGGGCGGGGGGCCTGGAAGTTGTTGAAGTCGCCCGCCGCCCGCACTCTCACGCTCTACCCCGAGCCGACTCCGGCTCAGAGACACCTAGCCCTCGGCTAGTAAAGGGGGGAAGAGGCGGCCTGGTCCTGGCGATCGAGCTCACTCTATCTGCTGCTGCTGTGAGTGCGGTGCTGCACCCCTCTTGCTGCAGCTGGGATAGGTCAGTGGGCAATGGCTGTCTCGGCTGCGACGGGCAAGTAGGGGAAGCGGGGATGAGGCGGCCAGGTCCTGACGATTAGGCCCGCTCTCTCTCTCTCTCTCTCTCTTTCTCTCTCTCTCTCTCTCTCTCTTTCTTTCTTTCTCTCTCTCTCTCGATCCCTGCTGCTGTGTGTGGGCGCTGTCAGTGTGCTGCACCTCACTGGCCTCGCTCGTGAGCCTGAAGAGATGAGGCGGCCAGGTCATGACGATCTGGCTCGCTCTTCCTTTCTCGATCTCTCTGCTGCTGCTGTGTGCACCTCTCTGGCTGCAGCTGTGGAAAGGAGGTGAGCGATGGCTGGCCCGGCTGCGACGAAAGTCGAGGGAGGGGGAGGCGCCCAGGTCTGGTCGATCGGGCCCGCTCTCTCACTCCATCCCTGCTGCTGTATGTGGGTGCTGTGCTGCTCCTCACTTGCCTCGCTCGTGAGCCTAATGGGAAGAGGCGGCCAGGTCATGACGATCGGGCCCGCTCTCTCTCGATCTCTCTGCTGTTGCTGTGTGAGAGCTGCTCGCCACTCTGCGCAGCTGAGAAAGGAGGTGAGGACGGCTGCTCGGCTGCAACGGGACAAGTCTAAAAAAGAGGCGGCCTGGTGCTGATGAGAGAGCTCGCTCCCTGTCTCGCTCTCTCTCTGCTGCTGCCTGACTATGAAAGTACTGCGCCGCGCTGGCTGCCGCTGAGAAAGGCTAAGCCGTGCTTCGAGAAACGGGAACTCTGGTGCACGTCGCTCTCACTCTGGCTCTGCAGCGCCGAGCCCCCAAACCCGCTGTGGTGGCCACCCCCTCGCTCGTGCGCCTGGCGTCGCCGCGCACCCTGTCGGTGGTCGGCGCTTCCAGCAGCACGCAGTGCGCCTTCCACCCCTTGCACTGAGGGCGACGGCCCTGTGGCACTCTGCACGCCTCTGGTGGGTGCCTCCCGTTGGCGTCTGCGGGACGGGGTGCTGCCTCTCCTCTGCGACGTCGTACCCGAACCCGTGCCTGCTCTTCGACTCGGGCCGGGCGAAAGGGGGGGATTGGGAAAGGGGGGGTTACGAAATTTGCTGCATGCAGCTGGTTTCGGCCTCACCGAGGGGCCCATTCCTCGATACATGGCCCCTCCGGCGCCGGGAGGCGCCGGGAAAATCAGCTACGTGAGCTGATTCTCAAACCCCCCCTTTGCTATCCCCCCCTTTCGCCCGACCCGATCGACCACTTCGTGTAGCTGCCTTCGAGCTCGTCGTTCTGCTTGCGACCGTAGTCCGTTTCCCGTGGGAAAAGGGTCTTTCACGAGCCTCGAAGCATCCTCAACGCAGCCCTTCAACTCCGTGGCGATCTGGATCGTGTGCTCGGTCTTCTGCAGCTGGTGCGTCATGATCTCGATGCCTTGGACCCGCTCCATCTCCTCGTACACGTTCTCGCTGCGTGAGCACTTCAGCCGTCCAAGACTGGTGGTAAGCCTCTCCGGCTACGCTGGAGCACGGTGATCGTCGTCTGAGTGGGGTCGTTACACTGCTGGAAGATCTTGCTGGTGGCTTGCATGCTGGAGTGCGCGATGGTGAGGCGATACTCCATGCTGCCGACTACCTGCTCGCCCTGCCCTCCACGGTACTGAGGGCGCTGTACCAGTACTGGTGGAGGTGGTGGCTGCTGCTGCCGCTGCTGGTGGAGCTGCTGCTGGGTCTCGCCCTCCTCGGCGCCGACTGTGTCCGCGCCTTCCATCTGTCGGCTGCCCGTCGGGCTGTCCATCGCTGTTGTAATGACCGCGTCGCTGTCCTGGGTCGGCTCTGTGACGTTGGAGCCGAAAGAGCTACGCACAGGGACCGTAGTGGTGACCGTGGTCGTAATCACCTTAGTGATCTTAGTTGGCAGGCACAGTGATGTCTTTTGTAGTAGTTACCTTAGTCTCACTGTCCACCATAGTGTAGCCTCCGCCTCGCACATTCACTTACCACAGTCCACCATATATGGCCGTACATGTATCGCCGCCCCCTGGAATTATTACCTGTCCCATGGGCCTCTGGGGGCGTTGGGTGTCTGTGGAGCCTCTGCCTTGATCAGAGGAGGAGGAGGAGGAGGAGGAGAAGGAGGAGGAGTAGGAGGAGGAGGAGGAGGAGGAGGAGGAAGAGGAGGAGGAGGAGGAGGAGGGGAGAGAGGAGGAGGAGGCGGAGGAGGAGGAGGGGACGAGGAGGAGGAGGAGTGAGGAAGGAGGGGAGAGGAGGAGGGAAAGGAATGATGAGGAGGAAGAGGAGGAGAGGAAGGGAGAGGAGGAGGGGGGGGGGGGGAGGGGGAGGAGGGGGGCGGGGGGGAGAGGGGGGGGGCGTTGCGGGCGCCGCCTGGAGGTGCCCCGTTTCCACGACGTCGAATGTTTTTTTCTTCGGAGGTTGCGAAAGTCGCCCCTGGGCCCCCAGCTGCGCCCCTGGGCCCCCAGCTTCTCCCTCCTCCCTCCTACCTCCTCCCTCCTCCTCCTCCCTCCTCCTCCTCCTCCTCCTCCTCCTCCTCCTCCTCCTCCTCCTCCTCCTCCTCCTCCTCCTCCTCCTCCTCCTCCTCCTCCCTTCTCCCTCTGGACCCCGTGATGGGGTGCTCTGGAGGCCGTGGACGCTTCCCTGGAAGTCCTGGGCCCAGACATGATGGCGTCGTCAAAATATCAGGACGGGCGGTTTTGGGGTATTTTCGCCCTCTAGAGGTCCTCGCCGGGCCTCGGGACCGTCAAAAAACGACTCAGGACGAAAAACCAGTCCCGGGGAAAGGGTCGGGTCCCGTGAGGGGTGCTCTGGAGGCCGTGGAGGCTTCCCTGGAAGTCCTGGGGGCACCTCGGGCCAGGGGCACTTCTACTCCAGATCTCGGAATAAAAGGGAGGGGGTCTGGACCCTCCAAGACAAGCCATGTCAGACCCCCCCCCCGTGGGAGAACCCTCCAAAACATCGTCCCCAGACCCCCCCAGGCCCTCCAAGATAGCCTGGAAGAGACCCCCCCCCCGAAATGAGACCCCCCTCCCTTTATTACCAAATCTGGAGTAGCAACACCCGAGTTTTCGCCTGCTCATGGGGGGCTCAGCCTCCTGGGGGGCCAGGAGAAGGTAAGCTCGATTCCTTGGATGTTCTTTTTGGGGGGCCGCACTCGTCTCAAAGGAATGTCTTCCTTAGCGGCTCACCGGCAACTCCGTTGGGATCTTTCTGCCCGGGCCAATCGGTTTCTCAGGAAATATGGTTTCCTCAGTTTGCCCTACTCTAATTACATCCAGAAGTTTAACCCCCATTGGCAGGCGAATGAGGGGGGCGACCGTAGACGGTCTTCGTTCCGATCCTGTCGAGGTTGCCGTGAGTGCCGCTGGAGGTGTTCATTTTTCGGGTCGCGAGGGTGCGACAGTAGAGTGTTCTTTCCGATCGTGTCGTGACGTTGACGTGGGTGTCGCTGGGGGGTGCTCTGCTCACGCGAGGAGAGGGGGCGGTTGCAGAAGTCTTCCTGCAGCACCTCATTCTGATTGAGTCCGTCTGCATCGCCTCCTACAGCTGGCGACGTGTCTCATCCTTTCCTCGATCACCCTGCTCAGGAGCAAGATGTTGCCGTGGTTGCACTTGTGCTGGGGTCGAGCCGCGACATGGGGAAGTACCCCGTCCCCCACACAGGGAGCCGAATGCCAGCCTCCCGATTGAGTTACCTCGGCTTATTCGGACCTCGTTCCAGGAGAGGGCACATCGCGGACTCACAGACGTGCGACCTTCAAGGACGCCACGGAGGCCGTCGAGGATGGTGCCGCTGGAGACACTGCGCCTGCAGATCTACACCGCGTGACGTGTGTTCAGTACGCTCT